GCGAACCACCGTTTCAGCAGTAATATCCTTAATAGGTACTGCTTCTGGCCATCGTGTGAAACGATCCACGCAGGTGAAAGGGTAAGCACATCCATTGGATTCTGGTAGAGGTCCCACAATATGGACATGGACATGGTCGTAACTCATGTCTGTGGCTAGAAAAGAGCCTAAAGAGCTTTTCATGTGTGACCTGACTCTACGATTCTGACCAGCTAAGCATGACTGAGCCCACTCCTTAACGTCTTTGTCGATTCCCGACCAGTGGAAAGGCCGTGCAAGAAGCCCGATAGTGGCTCGTACACCTGGAGGGGACGGCTTGTACAGCGTATTGGAGACGTTGCATCGGCATCCCTTCGGAACTATTGGGCGTGGTTGACTAGTGGAGACATCGCACAAAATTGTATCCTTGTCTGATCCTACTAGACACGGTTGTAGCTTGAGGGTTGTGGACGATAACTAATGATGCAGCTCAAGGTCTTCCATTTGGCACTGAGCTTGTTTAACGAGATCAACGCCTTCGATATGGTTTATCGAAGCTATCCGAGATAACGCGTCGGCCACCGTATTTGGTGCTCCAGAAATGTGTCAGGCCTCTGAGGTGAACTGGGAAATGTAATCTAGCTGTCTCGACTCTTTAGAGGAGTATTTATTAGATGCCGAGCTAAGAGTGAGGGTTAACGGTTTGTGGTCTGTGAAAATAATGAAGTCACGACCTTCCACCGAATGTCGCAAGTGGCCTACAGGACAGTATATAGCTAGGGGTTCCCTGCCAAATGTACCGTATCTTGTTTCCTCCGCATGCAGCCACTTAGAGAAAAAGGACGACGTTTGCCACTGGTTGTCAGTCAATCGTTGCAAAACTGCTCCAATTGCTGGGTCAGATACATCAACAGCAATACTCAAAGGAGCATTCGGGTCTTGATCCATGAGCATGGTTGCGTTTGGAGTGGCTTCCTTTGCTGCAGAGAAAGCAAGTCTAGCCACGCTGTCCAGGGTCACGAACTTCGTAGTTCCTCAAAGTAGATCTGTGAGTGGTCTTATGACAGAGACGCACTTGGGGATAGACCTTCGGCAGCAGCTTAACAGGGCATTAAAAGTGTAGAGATACTTCACAGTGGTCGGTCCCGGATAGTTTATGGTACCCGCCACTTTATCACTCGACGGGCGTACACCTTTGTTGTCAGTGGTATCCCAAAGGAAGCCGGGTGATTCAACTTCTATTTCACACTTCTGCGGGTTGACTGTGATGCCACGTTTTTTTAGTCTTTCGAATGCAAGGTTCAAATGTTTAAGGTGAGTTTTCTTATCTGAGCTTGCATTGAGACAGCCGTTGATGTAGACATGGACAAAATCTAAACCACGGAAGACACTGTTCATAAAGTATTTGTGTGTTTTTGCTGCATTCCGAGGACCAAACGGGATACGCAGGGACTCAAACAAACCAAAGGAAATAATAATGACTGTTTTCGCGATATCTCCTCCCGCCATAGGTATATGACTAGAGGCTTTGACCAGATCGATGTTGGAGAATATGTTCATTCCGCATAGGGTTGAGGCCAAGTGGTAAGCATGGGGTGTCAGGTAGCAGTCAGGTGTTGTTTTAACATTAGGCCTTCGGTAATCACCGGTTGGACGCCGGTTGTTGTTATCCTCCCCAGGGACCATAAGCGATGATGACGCTGAAGGGCCACTTGAAGGTTTGAGAATGTGGTTGAATTCACTGGCCGCCGTTTTGAGCTTATCAGGGGCTAGACGGCGTGCTTTGGATGCCACAGGTGGACCTGTGCTTGTGACATGATGCGCAACATTGCTAGTCATGCACGGAAGAGTATGCTTCGGTTGTTGCAACTCTGGATATTTCTCCAGAATTGCCTGGTAAGACACGTCGCCTGATTGTTCGGTTCTCACGATTGCTAGACTTGGACTTACATAGGTGCTGCCACTAACGGAAAATTTTGTGTAGTTATCTAACGGTCGTCGACGACGAGCATCCACGAGCAGATCGTAATGGTCTAGCAAGCCTGTGCCAATGATGGAAATGGAAACGTCATCCAGGAGGAAAATCCAGTGTCTGTCTTTACGTTAACCTAAGTTGAGGCGAAAATATCGCCTCCCGGATGTTGCGATCGTCATGCCGTTAGCGGGTGAAAGGTTGAGAGATGATTGGTGATGAAGCTTCTCTGTTCATGCAGGAAGAGCGCTGACTTCTGCGCAGGTGTCGACGAGGTGGCGAACCTTCGCTTCTACACCTGTGACGTAAACGGCTGTTTCCGCCGGCTACGGTTGCTGTGAACACGGTTCGGCGTGACAGTTTCCCGAGTTTCTGCCCATGCTGAAACAGCGTGGATTCCGGCATTCTCTGGCTTCATCCCGTAGGTCTTGTGGAATCAGCACAATTTCCGGTTTTACACCCTGTTGGGTTTGGTTTTTGGATAACCACGCGAGTTGCTGTGATGGGCTGTGTTGCATTTCTGTGATGTGCTACGTAGCCTACGGCTTCGAGTTCGTAGCAGCTGTCTTAGAGAGTTTCAAAGCTTGGTTAGTTGGTTAGGCGTCCATGTGCTGGCGATCTGTCAGATCACTATTCTTTGAGAGAGAAGCTTGGAGAAGTGCATAGGGATCACTTACCTCGGGGCTAAACATGTGTGCTGTAACATACCTGTTTAGTTCCCACGGTAGTGAACGTAAGACAGCAAGAACTCGAGGATGAGGTTCTGAGACAACTTGTTCTCGAAAACCCACCTCGGCAAGTAGAAACCATGTTTCCGCATTATCTGACCAGTATGACACGAGCTGGATAGTGTTCATTGTTGGCTTAATACGGATAAGCTTCGGGGTTTGGTCGGACATAGGAAGGAGCTGTATATGGATATATAGTTATCAAAATGCAGACAGCATACGAGTAAAACAATGGAACGGGCTCACTTACTTAAAATTTATTCTTGGTCGGGATTTGTCATCACGTCGGCCTCAATAATTTTGGAATCGACCTGGTGCGTACTTGACAGAAGTGAGGCCAACCACCAACTGTCCGAACTTGTTATAAACCCACAAATACAAGACCAAGAAAGAACGCAGTAGCGTAGTCGGATGGAATGGTATATTTGCGAGGTCGTGGATGCTTGACCGGGCGCCTTCAGCTGAACGAGTCCGGTAAAACTACCAAGTTCAGCATCAATGTCGGTTCTCGTCAAACCCTAGGCTATTGATTGTGGAGAAGTGTGTGATGCTACATACTGTTGCAATCCTGGTGGGTTGCAAAAGAATCGGGGAGATTGATGTTTCCAGTAACCTATGAATGGGCAAAATACTTGATGCTCCTATTTTTAGGCTGTCTCAATTGGCCGATTTTACGTTGAAGCCAATAAAATGGGCACCTGTATTCACCTATTCGGGGATTCAACCTATTGCGGAAGGGATCTCCCACCTAATATTCATGGCCACAATATACGTTAAGAACATTTCTGAACTAAGGTATAACACTATGATCATTGCGCGTCCGTCTGTCACTCCGAAAAAGAACGAATTCTTACGAATGTTCTGTGCCATAGTTGATGGGCGGCGGAACTTTGTCTTGACGCAGTATCCTTACCGCATTATTGAGTTAGTTAAATCTATTCGGGAGACTACGTATACTTCAGCAGAAGGCGAGAAAACATTTGAATTAAGTCTCTGCCCTATCCATACAGGTTTTGAGAAAGACTAATTTATAGTCCTATGTCAGGAACAACAACTTTTAGGTCTTTCTCCTCCTGATGCAAATAGACATAATAGTTCTTCCACTGCTCCTTATCTCCCCATTCGATTGGAAAGATAAAAATAATCCTGTTCCATTAGGTTCTCGAGTGCTACCTAGGGGAAGGCCCCTCACTTCTACGGGCCTGAACATAGCATTAAGTAGTCAAAATCTGTTTTCAGCAAGAGATGACCGCTTCTGGCCTCTCCCACAGATCAAGAATACAGCGAGTTGCTTTTCAGTCCTTCAAGATTTTCCTGTAAACAGTTCTTGGAGAAACCAAATTCTCTTCTGCCACAACTTTGCGTAAAAGGAGTTAGAAACATCTTCAACCTGCCTTCCTTATGGCGAACATAACAATAACCTCGGCTATAGGTCTCCATGCGATTACATACAACCATACAGTAGGTGGGATAGAGTGACAACATTGAGGATCAACTCAGTTGGGTGGAGGGGAGATTGGTGACCAAATCTTTGCTTGTTGAATCAACACCGAAGCCATGCAACCGAAATGATTCTGCACGTGTCCCAAATATATGGGAAATTCTACTACGCTTGTCACAGAGAAGGAGAGTAGGTTAGAAATAAACAAACTTCGTCTGAAAGTTGTGGAGTTACCTGATATGAATACGGATAGTAAATCGCATCCAAAACTTCATCCAGTTAGTCATGCTGTTCCATTGTGTTATATTTGAGAGAAACAGCCTAAAACAGCGCCCAAGTTTACCCCTACATCAATGAAGGGATATTGTTTATTTTCTCTAGAACTGCAGTACGACTGTCTAAGACAGTTGTGTAACAAGCAGCTGCTCGTATATTTTCATTTTACCTGATGGCACGTTGTTGCAGACGGTTATATGTAATTTCGGCAGCAGCAGTTCACGTAGCCAGGATGAGAATCAGGAAGGAAAAAGAGGAAGAGTAAAAGGTGTGCTGGCGATTCACTATGCACAAAGAATTTAGTTACCCTCAATAATAAGAGGCGGTCGACAAGCCGCGAAAGATTGGGATTAGAAGACAACATAGTAAGGAACTAAAGCAGTGGGTCAGTGAGGTTTCGAAGTCGTTAGATAGAACGGTCCAAAAATTTTGGTCTTTCTAGCCGACAAGACTTCTAATTCGCCCCGACAAAACTGCAACTTCGCACATATTTCTCCTAAAAACATCAAAATAAACTTAGTGTGGTATTATTGTTGGGCGTCTACAAGTTAAATGGTTTGTTTGTCCTCACACCATGAAGCTGTTGCTTTAAATATTACGCTACATGTCCGACAAGGGGACGATGGGTACAAGGAAACTGTCGTAAGTTGCTAACAGATATCTTATCCCTGACAGAACATCGGGGGAGTCCTTATATCATACCTTAGGGGTTCCCAGAGGGGCACCAGAAGAAGACTTAAGGAAGTCTTACAGGAAGGTTAGTTTTTTCTGATTCACACATTAACTAATGTCTCATGCTATTCCTTCTTTTAATTGACTTATATGGATGTTTCTACTAAAATCCTGACTTTCGGCTGGTTTTGTGATCGGTTTGGCATGTTTGCCGGTTACAAATTTCTGCAGTATGTAGGATCGTCTCCCAGCCAGAATTAACTTTAGGCGCACTTTGTAAAGTTTAAGCAAAAACCCGAAAGATTTACTTCGGGCTAAAATGAGAGACTGCATTAAATTTCCAAGCTTTTCCCCATAACCTGAAAGTATCAACGTGCGCCCGAAGATCTGAAATCCAATGAGTGTACCCGAAGTAAATGCTGGCTGGGATTTTCATTTCGAATAATTGTTAGCGGAAGATAAGCTTTACTTATCTGGCTGTCATGTGGACCACTAGTTCCACTCCCTGTTTAACTAAGTGTAAGACAAAGGATGAAAAAGATCAAGTTGTTCATAACTGTAAGCTTATGGTTAAAATGGTTACTGGAGGATAAGATATTTTCTCTTTACTGGCTTCGACTTCTAGAATCCGCTAGTCACTAGTTTCAGTGGGTGTCAGCCTGTATACAAATTAAGGAGCTAAAATAAGTGTTTAAAATATGGAAGTCGAGTTAGTTTCGACTGAGCCACCACCCACATTTTAATCATGTGTCAAGTCAGCATCTAAAGCATCCAAACCAAGTAGCTTCAGAAAAGTCTTACAGGGTTTAATAACTTTGGGAATAGAGATTGTACCTGGTACCTAACCTGCTATGTCCTCGACTGTTTCTGTGCCCCGGCCCCAATGTTTGATGTTACCATTAAGATTCAGTAAGCGACGAAGTAGGTGTCCAGGAATATTCAAGATATTGTGAACTGTTATCAAGCCATCTAGGTCTGCTATATTCCGGAGGACATAGGTCAGACGCAACCATTCTTTCTACATATATTTCAGACCGATGTTCTGGGACGGATTTGGTCGAGCATCTTCTTATCTGTCTTGGACTTCATTTTTCCCTTTGCAGAGACGAGGGAGGGGGGAGACTGTGTTCCCAAGCTCCAGGTTAGGCTGTATAAAGCTGTCGGAAATCCGATGCAAACATTTATGATCTAATTCTCTAAGTCTGAATTGACGGCAAGTTTCCACGAAGTGCGTTTCTGTCACAGTTGGCTTGGGTTGTTAAGTTTTAAGCAATCATTACGTCCAGTTCCTTCTCCCACTGTGACGCTCCCAGTTCCATTCCGTTGAAACTATATACGTGAAATCCATCAAATTGGTCGTACGACTGCATTTCTTAGGGTGCGAGCCCATTCTTAAAAGCCAAGTATTAAAGATAGGTTAGGTTCTCTGGGAAGAGACTATCTTCGTGACTTCTGATTTCTCTCCAGTTTCGTATAGGTAAGAGAAACAATTTCACCCCGTTTGGGTTGATGCGACTTCCCAAGTATATGAAATGATCGACATATTCCACCACTATTCCCTATAATCAAATTGGGGTTACTTGCAGCAGACCTGGAGCATCATCTTATATATGACAGGTGCGAGACGCATGCCAAACATTCATTACTTTTCAGTGGGTTCACAAGACCCTGCATTTTGTCAGCATCATCTAGCGGGACAATATCATCTGCATACTCCGAAGCAACCAGGTGATCTACATTGAGTAGGTCAATCGCTGTGAAGTCAGACGTGCCTAAAGTTATGTCCATTAGTAAGTCTGTAACGAAGTTAAATATGAAAGGTGACAGTCGGCACCCCTGACGAATACCACTAGTTGTCATCAGCTCACATGAAAACTCTCCACAAGCCCTGACACGACTACGTGAGTTCCAGCATAGAGTTTTTATCAGTATTATGTACTGGCAAACTGTCCGGTCCTGCTACTTTGTATCGTTTCATGTTCAGCACAACCTTCTCAACTTCAAAGAGAATTGGATGACCAACATCTACTTCCCATTCAGGTCCAGGCTGGATGCTGTGGACTAGTTAAACTGTTCTGCAGTGTCTCTGGTGCTTTCGTCACCTACCAGTGATCTCGATTGAAGCAAAGACTCTTGGTCAACTTACGTTTGAGTTGCTTTCACTTTACCTTGTGGTCAGAGCTATCTGGAGTTAGTCTTCTCGCATCAGTGAACTCCGACGGAGGTTGCATAGATCCAATGACGTTTACTAACCTTCGGGTGCACGTTACCAACTGTGTACCGCTGTTCCTACAGCAGATTTAATATCACACCAATTTTCCTAAGGATGAGCATTGTTGTCACGTTCAAATAAGTGCTTCGCTACCTCCTTCCTAAATACATACTTGACGTTCTCATCCTCCAGTTGAGCACAGAAAGACTTCTCTGTCGTTTGTTCCCTGCGACCAGCAAGGCGTAGGCATACATGAGCCGTACTAGCGCATGACTTGAGTCCAGACAAGTACTCCAGAAAGAGTAGCTGTCGCCCACCGATCCTCTCCAACGATGGCTTATATCAGTGTGATCTATATGTGTCTATCGTTGGTTTGAAGTCGGTGAACGCCATGTGAGACTGTTTCTCCTTTTGCTTGAAGTTAGTACTGACCAGAAACAAGTGATTGTTGGAACAAAATTGCAACAGATCACCATTATTGGTTTGGTGGCATGGGATTCCATAAGTATCATCAAGATGCCTTTCCGATGGACTCAGCTTCCCTACTTCAGCGTTAAAGTCACCTGCCATTACTACATCTGAGCGTTTTGCTTCCTGTAGCAAAGCTTATACCTTTGCATCATCCGGACTGCAGTTGGTGGTTGCGTAGGTGGAGATTACGAACAGGCGTCAGTTGATCTCACGATCCTTCCTAGTTCCTACTGTTCCATTCGGTCAAATAACACGTAAATGGCTGTTGACTGGTACGCAGTGGAAAACCACACTTTCTGCTCTACAGCTCAATGCTATGCCTGCACCAGCGGGTCCATAAGAACTAGCCACTAAGTCTCTGTATACTCGTAAGGTGAATTTTGGTGATTCACTGCTGTAGCCACGTAAGGTCAATTTAACAGTCACACTCGGATCCTGTATATGTATCTCAGAAATTCAGAGAATGAATTGAACGAAACTTACTCAGCAACGTTGTGCACATTCGTGAAGTAGGTAATGAGCTACAATGTGTAAGGGCTAGTGATATTACCTGGCTGTCCAATCCTCTCTAGGTGGAGAGGGTTTCGGACTCGCAACCCACAAGTTGATAGTCATCTCACTAAACCACTGGGACGCAGCTCCAACAGAGACAACATACATCCATTGCTAGAGATTACAAAGTTCAGGGGAGCGATGCTTAATGTCTTATTTGGCACAGAGTTTGGACGTTGAAAGCTCCTACATAAAATCGATTGTGGGGTCTTAGGAGGCTAGGAATGAGGTTTCGGTGGCTTTTATTATGGGCAACGGTATCAGTGAGAGGTTTGGTAAGGCGTAATAGGCTTAATATTAGTATCAGGTGAAGAGGAAGAAGGAGACAGTTGAGGAAGATAGGTTATGTTTATTTGCATCTTGTGTACTAATCAAAACGTGTGGGTGATTGACACTTCCCGGCTGCTCATACTGTCCAAGGTTAGTTGATCTTGGGGTACCTGAAAAAGGAGGGTTAATGTGTGAACACAGAGCTCAAGGAACATCTACTTGAGACCTATTACACACGACCTTTTTCCAAGTTGGAGATTATGGTTTATTGCTTTTGAATCTGATTACGAATCCCTGTTGCAGGCATCAGCGTGATGTGAGAGGTGGAAGTGTAGTATTTAAGGGGTCGACATTTCCTAACCCTAGCCGCCTCCCATAGTGTGGGTGGCATCAATGAAGCATTACTAGTTGTCCAAGGAAAAAATTTACTGCCATCACACTTGCGTCCAGTCAGCAGTACAACTTCACACCTCAGACTCCCATCATAGGGCCGCAATTTACTCTGTAATAGTAACTGCTTTTTTCTTACCCCTATCCAACAGACGTTTCTGGTATAGTAAGACTTTGAGGGAACAAGCGTTCCACCAGCATTCCTCATTGAACCATTGTGATATGCAAACCCGACTACGAAATTAAGGTAGTACCTATCGGTCGGTCATAGAAAACAGAACTTACTCGAACTCTAAATAAATGGCTACGTAGGTATGAGGATGAGCAGTGGTTTGATGCCGACTAATTCTAATTTATCATTCATGCAGTCGTGACTGACTCAATCAAATGCTTTAGAAAAGTCTAGATAAATAATACCAATTCTACCTCCCTAGTCTGCAGTACTAGTTCACCTATTGGTTGCAGTGAGCAGGTTGGTAATGCAGGAGTACTCTGTTCTGAATCTGTTGTTGGTGTGCAAAGAACTTAGTCGTCATAAGGTGACCCCTCGGCCGTCATAAATTTAGTAAGGTATGGGTAAGAGGGTCACCGGTCTGTATTTCTTCGGGTTGATGTTATGTGGCCCAAAACCCAAAGATTGGGCTTTTTTTGATGACTTGGAGAATCCTTAAATAACTTACTTAGAGGTTCAGTTAGGATTGATGCTCCTTCCCGCAAAACTACTGCATGGGTTTTGTTCAGTCCTGGAGAGTTACCTTTTGTGAACAGTTCCAGTTTGCGCTGTGCTGGCTCAAAGCTTGAGTCAACAACTGATAGTCTTACTTGGTTAGTGGAATATTCTAAAATTCCTAGGTAAGTAATCGGTGAGAAAAAGATTTGTAAATACTGATCAGCCAGTTCAGCTACTTTAGTGTCGTACCAGTCAACCAATTAAGCCCTAATAGTTGAGACCCCCGCTTTAACCTGTCGCAGCGATGTAGCATTGCGGAAAAAACTTCTAGGGTTAATAAAAAACATGTTTGAAAGTCTAGCTTGATACCGTTGCCGTTTGGCTCTCAATACCTTCGTGCATGTTTCTCTTTGTTGAAACTGTCTGTCTATGTTACCATTTCTTTTGTGTTCGCCCCAATGATGTCTTTTTAACCTTAGTAGTTTACGAGTAGAGTTGCTTACCACATTAGGCAACTTGAAGCACTTTCTCATTGAAGGTGTAACAGGCTGGTTGATGGCACGCTTGATTATGTCGAGTATGAATCTCCAATCGATGCTCACATCCTGCCATAGATGTTCAATTTCCCAATCTATATGTTTCAGTGCTAACTGGAGAGCTGGTGTGTGTAGTCATCTAAAGTTCAAACGACTCTTGTTAAAAAATCGGGTTAGTCTGTTTTCGCAGACACTGGAAACCAATAGCAACGTGATCACTCCTATGCAATGAAGGGAGGATTGCTAGGTTGTCAATCAAGAATTCCTCGTTTTTAAAGATTTAGTCTAAGCAGGATGGTATTTGAGTTTCCCTCTATCTTGTTACTGGTCTTACATTTCCCTTAAGTCCCAGCTTCTCAATCAGGTTGAAGAATCGGGTTTTAATGGAGTCGTCACTCCCGCTAAGCATATGATTCCCAAAGTTAACCTTCGGTAAATTAAATCTAGAATTAGTATGCGTGGTTCAGTTTAAGGGAGCGACCGATTCCCTGTAGCATTTGATCATCATTCTGTACGCCAGTAGATGGCTTCTTACAAGTAACCCTTACTAAGCGCTTAGTAGTCTTGAACAGCTCTATGAAGCACCAGATGAACTCAAAACACTCCTTTTGTGGAATATGAATTGTAAGAGAAATGTTAACGTAAAGTGCTATCCCACCTTTCTTGTTAGCTCCCCCGTCGTTTCAGAACAGTGTTTTGTTGGCAGCAACCAGCTCCCTAGCTGAGACATCCATGTCTCAGTAACACCTATAAGATAAGCATAAGTGTTCTTACTTATTTACCGTAGTTCTTCGAGTTTATTGGGTAGGCTGTGTACATTTGTATAGATGCAGTTTATGCTGTCTACTTTAAATGTATTTCCTGAGACTTCTCCACTGTCCAATTTTCTTGCTAAATCCTCAAGTGTGGGAGCCACGAACCTCCCTAAGTGTATTTACCAGTGAAGTGTTCCCCACTTCTCCCCTGTTTCTGCTTCCTTGCAATCCACCAGAGGTACAACCAACTCCAGCCTTTTCTGTTTTCTCTGTAGATCCTCATTCTGTTGGGTTGAGTGAAAATAGTGATACTCAGTTTTACTTACCTGCACTGATTCAGTTGTAGTCATCTACCTAAAGGTTTAACATACAGTAGAAAAGTGGTATCTTCCCGCAGTGTTATGTAAGTATTCACCGTAGCATTAATTTGAGTAATCGTAAGTCTGAACTCCGTTTTTTAATCCTTGAAGTTAATGGTAACTCTAACCAGTCAACTAATACAACTCAGTAACCACATGCTTGTTCGTACACCCGTGAACAACTCACATTTGTGGCTTATATGTATTGGGGCCTAAGTAGGTGGAGTAAAATTCAAACCTGTAAACCACTGACTAAAAGTTAAGCGCATAAACCAATGAGCCACTGCTAACAATATATATATATATATATATATATATATATATATATATATATATATGCATTTTTGCCTTGTCATTTCCTTTTGTCGTACTTAAGTATATTTCACTCGTTAGTTTTCCGCTAGTGTGTTTCCAAGAGTTGCAACAACTAGAAATGGTTCACTGTGATCAATTCTAATTATTTTGATTAGTCACTGAGGATTCATTTCTTTTTCGTTTCTTTGTTCTTCTCCTTTTATAGTTGGCTTTGCGATTTCACCCAGATAAAAATCCAGACAATCCATCAGCAGCCGAGATTGTAAGTCATTCATTCTTAATTGCTTCGTTAAGTCCTATTTGTTATTTGATCACTTTGCATAGGATATTATTGCTATTATTGGAAAGATTTAGTGTGAAATGCAACACTGCAATCCTTTATCTGTCTTATCAATCATATCAGGGTTATTCAAGACCTACAAAAATACTCAATAGCATGATCTGTACTTTTGAGTCATAACACTGCATTGGCTGTCTTCAGTCATTAGGTCTAGGTATCGCCCATAAACTGCTTTACTGACTTGGATCTTTTTTTACGAAATGGCAAAATCTATTTTAATGCTACGTTTATACGTACTAGCTACATTAAATTTATTAGCGTGTATCCAAAAACTAAGCATAGATTGTGTTTCCCTCAAACCACAAATCCAATGCATTTTAGGTACTAAAAAATATTCTATATACAATAATGCATCTAAGCGAACAATATTGTTTACAATGAGCTCTCATTAGCCTTTACGTTAATATACATAAATTTTCTTATATATATATATATATATATATATATATATATATATATATATATATATATATATATATATATATATATATATATAATGATGATGATGAAAACATTATACCAATTATGAATTATTTAGTCTGTGGTAACTAGGAAATGAAGCATGCGAATAGTAGATATCTAGACAATAATAATAATAATAATAATAATAATAATAATAATAATAATAATAATAGCAATGATAATAATTATTATCTCACTGATGATAAGAATAATGGAGACAGCACGGTACTGCAAACATTTAAGCAAACAATGTCGATCAAAACTTAGATAAATAAAAGTTGCGTACTGCTAAAGGATGGAATTTGTAGATAATCAAAGTCTAAAGAAATAAACATGTATGAAGGGTGAAGAGGATGGAAACTGAATTTATCTTTGGAGTAATTGATTAGGTTTTCTCCGGCCAAGGCAGAGATAAAGACTGCACAAACGTTTTCTGCACACAGAGACTAGGTTTGTTTTCTCTAATGACAAAGGGAATTCTCGAAACAGTAGAATTCATTTGTCAGCAAATTTCAGGAACACAGATTAATGTTGGATTTCCAGAAGATAGTCTCAGACAGCTACTTCTGCGATGCACCATGAATGTGCATTTTCTCCTTAATGATACATATTACAGGCAAGTTAATGGAATTGCCATGGGTTCACCATCAGGCCCGATATTACCTGCTTTTTTTCTTGCTAAATGTGAGAATAGACCACTGGAAGATGTCATCGATAATCCGCATATATATATATATATATATATATATATATATATATATATATATATATATACGTTATATTGACGACACTTTCATCATCCTTGGTCGATACGTCGACAAAAAGGAACTGTTAAGAAGACTCAATGGTGCGCATCCTTCTCTCGTTTCACTTGTAAGGAAGAACAAGAAAATATGCTACATTTTTTAGATGTCCTATTGATTAGAAGAGAAGATGAGTCACTCAGCAGAAGGGTGTACAAAAAGATAACACCTATAAGTTAGTACATACGTTTCCTTAGCTTTGTGCCCATTCAATATAAAAGAAGTGTAATTAAGTATCTTGCAAATGAAGCCAGTAGGATCTGCTTTGATGACCAGATACAAAAGGAGTTAGAATACATTCATAATATGCTGCTGGAAATGGGTTACCCCCATAGTTTTATCAAGAGACACATAAACAAAATGAGATCTGATCAAATGATTGTTCAAAAGAAATCAATATCCATGAAGCTCCAATTCAAGGGGGACGCACCTAGTGAATTTCTACTCCACAGGCTGTCTACAGCCATCAGAAGAACCTTTTATACTGCTAACCTCTGCTTACCATTTTCTAGTCGACCGATAATTGTTGTTCAGACAAAAGACAAGCTGCGTAGTTCTGCCACTTCTATGTACATTTATCAATTCAGCTGCTCCTTTGGAGAGAGCTATATTGGGCGTACAACTAGGGAGCTTAACAGACGTGTTACTGAGCATCTACGGTGATGGCTAGAAAAGTGACAAGCGAGGTCAATACGAAGTTCAATTCTGTCACATTTAGTCGACAGTGGTCATATAATAGACAAGACCAAGGCGTTCAAGATCATCTATCGCATTCCATAAAATCTTTCCAATAGAATTCACACTCGTATTTTACACATAGCTGAGGCTATGGTAATTAGAGAAAACAAACCTAGTCTCTGTGTGCAGAAAACGTTTGTGCAGTCTTTATCTCTGCCTTGGCCGGAGAAAACCTAATCAATTACTCCAAAGATAAATTCAGTTTCCATCCTCTTCACCCTTCATACATGTTTATTTCTTTAGACTTTGATTATCTACAAATTCCATCCTTTAGCAGTACGCAACTTTTATTTATCTAAGTTTTGATCGACATTGTTTGCTTAAATGTTTGCAGTACCGTGCTGTCTCCATTATTCTTATCATCAGTGAGATAATAATTATTATCATTGCTATTATTATTATTATTATTATTATTATTATTATTATTATTATTATTGTCTAGATATCTACTATTCGCATGCTTCATTTCCTAGTTACCACAGACTAAATAATTCATAATTGGTATAATGTTTTATATATAAGAAAATTTATGTATATTAACGTAAAGGCTAATGAGAGCTCATTGTAAACAATATTGTTCGCTTAATTGTCTTGTTTTAATAATGCATCTCCTTCGGTTTCAACTAATACTGAAGTTTTCTCATGCAGGTTTTAAATTCTTCGATATTATCGTCCCATCAATTAATTTTGGTGGTTTGTATAATTCCGATGCATTTTTCTGGTGTAGGCATTCGTAGAACGGCTAGAGGAACCATGGAAAAGTTAGTTTGATATGGGAAGTAGTTTCGTCAGGTTTAAAACGTCCTGTGCACCATGGCCTTATCGTTGGAAGTCCTACAGATTATGTTGCTGAATACCTCAGCATAAGAAATGTAGCTCAAAATCAAGGTCAGTTGTAACTTACTGTGGTTTTCTATACAAACGATGAAACAAATCCTGAAGGGAAATAAGTGTGATCATATCTGATTGTTTTCTGATTCATTTGCCATGTTTACTATGATTACTATATTGGGCTTCCCCTGCCGAGGCAGTCCCACTGTATTTTGCATAAAATGTCTTATGGTACCCTGCAGAATCTTTAGTAATGGTGAAGTAATATGCTTCAGTTCCAATGACAAAATGCTATGACCCCAGAAATTATTAGATTTTTCAATTTCTGCAAAATGGAATGTTGTCTTTTTCAAATGAAAAGTTATAACCAACGCATGCTATACTTTAACCTAAGCGTTATAGGGTTTTTCAAACTAAAATGAGATAGGTTCATCTTCTTTTCTGGTACTCTTTAGTCAATCAGTGAGTATCCGTATAAGGCCTAGATTTGGTTCATAAAACTCCAAGTTGCCACACCGTGCATCAACACGTCAAAATACAAAGCGGCGAGAGGAAAGTAGAAGCAAATTGGTCAATAGCCGTGGGAGCCGTGAAATGAAAAGAAGAAGGGTTAAAATCAATAAAAAATATGACATTAAAGTTGAGGGGAAGATAAAATTTGGCCGCATCTGCACCATTGCAATCGGTTTTGGAGCTTATCATCTCGTCTTCAACCATCGGTTCCATTGGTTTTGCGAACCTGGACTTAGGAGTCTATATTTCTGTACAAGGTTCAAGCTAACAGTCAAAAGCTGTGTGGGTTGGTATGATTCTTTTTGTATAACCGCCCTTAGTCTTTTCCCAACGTAACCCTGCTTCAACAGGTTGGGGTAGACAGTGACTCAACATATGTAACATGTTCTAGCCATCTGATTCAGGGAAAGCTTACAACCTTATGAACTGATCAACTTCATTTGCCCGACTTTCCACGTAACTTCGGCATCCTTGACGTTTTGATTTCACTACATGCGTAGGGAAATATAAACTTCCCACTTAGAGCCCGCGTAACAACTGAAATTTGTCACTGAATATAGGTGATATGGCTCAGAATTTATATATGACGCAAATGTATCTGTGCATTATCTTGATCTTAGTCTTCATATCAAATTTAATTTTTGTTTCATTAATTCATGTCATCTTTTTATGACTTCCTGCCACTTCGGGTACCTCCTATCTTATTTCTCCTGGTACCTTCTACTTTATTGTGCTGATGTGAGTTGTGGCAACTTGGACCGTTACACAGTAATACCAGGCTCCATGTTGTTACTGACTGACCACATGACCAGTGCTACAAAGACCATAATGGTTGAACACATAGAGCCTTCTTACCCTCCAGTTTTGATGTCTATGTTTCACAACCATGTAGTAGGACAGAGCTAACTGCTACACAGTACACTAAGCCCTTGTAAGGTAAATGGGTATCTCACTGTTGTTAGCCAGGGCCAACCTAACCCTTTGTATTTGTGCCAAGATTTGGCCGGATGCCTGCGCACTAAGAAGCATGCAACTTCCCAAGTGAAGTGGTCAGCTCACTTAACCACCTCACTCCCTGCTATCAGGTGGGGTATCGACGTAAATCACTCCTGAAGCAACAATTTGTATTTTGAAGGTGAGGAACGCATTTAAGCATTCTCGGCATCTTTAAACGGCTGTGTTCTGTCATCATCTAACAGGACAATATCACGTACATACTGTAAGCTTACCATCGAATATCCTGCGAGGAAATTAATCCCTGTAAAGTCATACGATGATAAGAAGCTCTCTATGGGCGTTTTCATGATAGACATCATTAAAACTGAATAGCTCACCTCTGGTTCAGGATATGCTCTAACTTGGTCATGGAAGTTCAAGTAAAAGACGTTTATTAGGATGGACATGTCACGCACACCTTTTTGTAAGAGACATTGCTGTTAGACATCTTCGTTGATGGGACCGAATGCCGTCTTACAGTCAAGAAATACAGCTTGTGTCTAGCACCTATAAGTATGCTTATGTTCTGTCTAAAACCTGCCTGGTTTTAACCGATGGCCTGTTCCTGAGTTCCAGTTAGAACTTTAGACACTTTTCGTCACACCAACTCCTTGGTAGTTATCAGTAATTGAGACCAATCAGAGGGGATCGAGTCTTATGCTCATACTCTAGCCCAGTACGTCAGTTAGTCTATTCAATAATCTTCGGTCTCCACCCTCAAGTAGCCATAGTGTCTAACCATCAGGATTAGTTTCCCTTCCTCGTTTAAAGTTACAGGCAACCTTCTCATCTCAATCAATAGTTGAAAACCTTATATTGATCCAGTCTGTGGCTCGATAGCAGGCTATCGAATGTTAGCTGAAGTTCACTTGAACTGTTCTTTGAAATGTTTTACCCACTGTTCCAGTTGTCTCTCCAGGGAATGGATCACTGACGTCTCACTAGTCTCATTTCCCACTGATCATCTTTTATTCTAAATTTCTCAAATTGTTCTGAATAACTGTCTATTATAGGCTGTCTCATATTGTACAGCTACGGATATGAGATACTGAAGATAAGAAATTCTTCATATTACCATTTATAATAGGGTTTTAGGTATAATACAATAACAGTTATCCTGAAGCTCATAATTTACTTGGTGTGTTTTGTTTCATTTAGATAAACACTTGTAGATCATTGTTTCGTCTTATTAATTGAAATGTTTTTCAAGGAAGGGTTTTCTTGTTTTCTTCTTTAATAGTTCAAAGAAATCAATAGAGCCTATCGTACTTTAACTGATCCTGTGAAAAGAAGCATCTATGATAAGTACGGAAGTTTGGGTTTGTCTATTGCTGAACAGTTTGGTGAGGAAAATGTGAACACCTACTTTGTACTCACGAACAAGTGGTGTAAGGTCAGTGGGCATTGTTACGAAATTGCTTTGTTGCTTTCTTTTTCAAAAAAACCTCTCCACCTCATATCAGCTCAACAAGTAACAAAGCAATAAGATGAAGAAAGAAAGAAAAAGCGGTCGACTGCAGTAGAAAAGCTGTAAAAGAGAGAAAGGAAGAATGAGAAAATGTTGAGTTCAGTATAGAGGTTAAGATGAAAATAAAGTGTGGAAAGTGTGTTTGTGCCGCTCACATAGATTCTGACCCATATCAAACACCTAGAATCTCTAACCATTTGTTTCTGTTGTCACGTGCGCCACAACCGGCTAGCCTGTATCTCCAAACATGGTTCAAACCAACAGTCAAGGGCTTCATGCAGTGATGCCATGTTTTAGTCTGCCCCCCCCCCCGAGCCGTTTTCCTGCCTAAACCTACTTCAGCCAACATTGGGTGACGTGGCAGACGGTAACTAGGCGTGCTTAACACATGTCCAAGCTATCTGAGTCGATGAAGGTTCATAACCTCATCAACAGACCTCCGTTTCCTCCCTAAAATTCTACACCTGACTTTTGAGTTGCTGACGTGGTGACACCACGACGCGTGGCTTATGTTACGATGGCAACGGTGGTTAATTATCAGAAACCTTCTCGTGGCCTCTACCTTTAGTGGCCTTTTGTATCAGTGATGAGATTTCGTCGGCCACCGATCCACTAGGGTTGACTTCCCTGGTAAGCCAAGTTATCAACGTACAGCCACTTTACTCTGTACTGTTAGCCGAGGCACTCCTGAAGACCAGTCCTGTAGCAACAACTCGCATAAGGATGGCGAGGAACACATCCCAAACACTCAAATTGCCACTCAATGTGTTCAGAAGCCTCTGACTCCCATACATGAGTTAGCACTTCACTTAATTTGAATAAAAGTCCTCGAGTACTGTCCTTCAATACCTCTGGGACTAATCCGTCTCGCCCTGCTGCTCTTCCTTGTTTGACGTTATATAGAGGTTTCTCGACTTTTGGCAGTGTTGGAGGTCCTACCTCAATGCTCTATTCAGGACCCAACGGCGAATGGGAAACAGAACAGCAGCTGAAAGCCGATTAGACCGTCCCTCGAAGTATTGTGGCCATAATCCCAGTCGTCTTCCCGGGAAGTGAATTGCAGAACCGTTGACCATTTTGCACCAGTTTCCTCAATAAGTCTGAATAACTCTACTGTAACCTGCCATCGCTGCCTTTCTCTCAGATTTCCCCTTTTTGCATTGAAATCACCTGCAACAACTACCATGTCTGAGTATTTGACTTTCAGTAGAAGGCTAGACAGTTTTCAGTAGAACTCATCCTTCACTTCTACAAAACTCCAGTCCGTGGCAACGGTGAGTTTCACCTTTCCTTTTATCCTCATTGTGCCGTTCAGTCGAACAGCATATACGCGAATATCAACTGGAATCCAGTGGAATAGAGAACCTCCTGCCTTAGTGTCCAATGTTATAGCTACACCTGCAAGACCACGAGAACTGGCCATTGAGTCTCCAGGATCTCGAAGGAGGAATTTTACGGATTTATATTGGTCAGATTAGGCTAAGTAAATAACTACACCTGAGTCCTCTATGCGTGTCTCACAAACACAACACACATCCATGACCCGAGTTGCTAGAGAAGCTTGCTGACCGACTTGACAGAGGGTGCAGACATTGGAAGCTCCAATGTGTAATTTAGAGTGCGGTTTCAGGAAACGAAGAGTGTTGTTGTTGAGAGCTGCAGTCCTAGGAGAAATTAAAGATGATGTGGGATAATCGACTGAGATATGAAGGGAGATTAGAAGGTGAGGGTATGGAAGGTGAACAGTGATCTGAGGGACCTTGAGTGCTGACAGAGTTGTGAGGGCGGTTTACACTTCCCGGCTACCCATACTGTGGAAGGCTAGATCTTCTTGAGGTGCCTGAGGAAAGGTTTAGTGGGTGACCGCAGAGTCCAAGGAACATCTGCTTGAGGTCGGTCACACGCTGCCTTTTCCCAAGTTTGAGATGTTAGGTTTTGGCTTCGGAGTTCGACTATAAATCCCTGTTGCCAGGCGTCTGCATGCCATGAGAGTGTGGTATTTTTGAGACCGACCTTTTTTATCCCTAATCGCTTCCCCGTAGTACAGGCAACATCAACGAAGCATTACTAGTCATCCAAGGAAACAATTTACTGCCATCACACTTGCGTTCAGTTAGCGATTCGACTTCAGGCTCCCATCATAGGGCCGCAATTTACTCTGTAATAGTAACTGCTTTTCTTCTCACCCCTATCCAACGGACATTTCTGGTATAGTAAGACTTTGAGGGAACAAGGGTTCCACCAGCATTCCTCGTTGGGCCATTGTGATATGCCAGCCTGATTACAAAGTTCAAGTAGCATCTATCGTCGGAGAAATATTTGTGCAGACAGTGACGCTAGCAATGCTACAATAACCAACAATATCTGATATCACTTGCTCACGTATATAGTTCCATCAGTTTACTTCCTTTCAAGGTTTGTGCTAATAATGTTGTCTAGAATACGAGCCTCGCGACTAAACTGTCCATCTTCTTGAATGTTATAAAAATGATTTAGTTCAGCAGTTAAGTTGGGTTAATCACATAAAAATTTGTGACTATTGAGCGACATTTTTATCGAATGATATGATAATTCTTGCATCTCATTGATTCTTGTTGAGAAATTGACAAAAGTACTAAATACTATTGAGAAAAGCAGTATTATTTTAAATCCACGGGTGAAGTTGTTAGGGATGCCTATATATGTATATATCCCTAATGTTCCATACTTACACTCTGGGTATATTTGAACTGTTTTACTTTGCGCTCTTTTTCCCGCGCATAGGTCGTATTTCGTATGACCCGCTGGTGTTCTGATTGACTCCTGCCTTTTTGAATATGCTAATTATTCTTTGCCTTATGAATAAAGTTCGTTTCCACTCATAAACGTTTTCAGCCCGAGGTATTATAAAATCGTCTGATTTCCAGTCCTTTGATTTCTCTTTGCAAAATCACTCGGGTAGAATCGTCTCAACCCTCGACTATCAATCGTTAGGTATTTTCGTTCGTTCTCACAACTCTGCATCATTAAAGAGGTATTCAAAGTACTTTACTCATTGTTATCTATATACAGGTGTTAGTTTTATATATTACTGTAGTTGCCGTAGTTTTTGAACTTTGAGTTGTTTTTCGATCAATTTGTTGCTGAAATACAACTTACTATCAACCAACTTGGCTTTCGGTGAATATAAATTTACTTACCCTCATTATACATTGAAACAAGAAGCTAATTTATTGTTTGATGGTAAGTTTCACGGAAAACACTTTTCAGACATTATACACATCAACCATTTATCACTTCGCGTTGTTTGCAGAAAACGAAGCTAGGTTTTGAATCGTTCGTTGAGTAGATTATTTAAACGCTCTAGTTTTAAGTGAGATTACAGTCAATTCTTGGAAATCTCTCGTAGAATGCTGATTGAAGTATATCGAAAGAAGTATGGGATAGTGACATACCCCGGACGAACTGTTTTATGAATCGCAAACTTGGGAGAATTCATTTGGAATCTTAGTCGAGCAAAACGATAAAGATTCATTACACGCTATCAATAACATTCGGACAATAAACACATTCTTATTTTCCAGTTTACACTTTTAGAGACTGATTCCGCGTATAGTATCACTTCTATATTTTACTTTTTTTTTGCAGGCTCTTTTCATATTCATTTTCCTTATTACCGGCTGCTTCTTCTGCTGTTGTTGCTTTTGTTGCTTCAACTTTTGTTGTGGTCTGTGCAAGCCAAAAACTCCACCAGATGAAGATCTTGAGGCTAAAGTTCAACTTAATGTAAGTTTCAGTATTGCAGTAGTAGCAATTGAGACTATTTAGTGTATTATTTTTCTTCTGTGAATGTGGTTGTTGAAAATTAGATTCCTTTAATTAAGATGTTTCATGTGGATATTATCATTATCATTATTATTAATGCAGTTCGCGTGTGACCGACCTCGAGCAGATGTTCCTTGGACTCTGCGGTCACCCACTAAACCTTTCCTCAGGCACCTCAAGAAGATCTAGCCTTCCACAGTATGGGTAGCCGGGAAGTGTAAACCGCCCTCACAACTCTGTCAGCACTCAAGGTCCCTCAGATCACTGTTCACCTTCCATACCCTCACCTTCTAATCTCCCTTCATATCTCAGTCGATTATCCCACATCATCTTTAATTTCTCCTAGGACTGCAGCTCTCAACAACAACACTCTTCGTTTCCTGAAACCGCACTCTAAATTACACATTGGAGCTTCCAATGTCTGCACCCTCTGTCAAGTCGGTCAGCAAGCTTCTCTAGCAACTCGGGTCATGGATGTGTGTTGTGTTTGTGAGACACGCATAGAGGACTCAGGTGTAGTTATTTACTTAGCCTAATCTGACCAATATAAATCCGTAAAATTCCTCCTTCGAGATCCTGGAGACTCAATGGCCAGTTCTCGTGGTCTTGCAGGTGTAGCTATAACATTGGACACTAAGGCAGGAGGTTCTCTATTCCACTGGATTCCAGTTGATATTCGCGTATATGCTGTTCGACTGAACGGCACAATGAGGATAAAAGGAAAGGTGAAACTCACCGTTGCCACGGACTGGAGTTTTGTAGAAGTGAAGGATGAGTTCTACTGAAAACTGTCTAGCCTTCTACTGAAAGTCAAATACTCAGACATGGTAGTTGTTGCAGGTGATTTCAATGCAAAAAGGGGTAAGTCGGAGAGAAAAGCACTCAGGTGGTACTTTTGGAATCCATTGGAGATTAACAGATAACGGGAACTTTAATAATAATAACACGGACGCATTTGCTCCTCATTGTATTCGGAGCCTGAAGGAATTCGTTTAAGGTATATCCATTACTTCTTATTAAGCTGCTGGAATCCGGTGGCTCTTTTCAACCACTTTCTTGTCAGTCGACTGCCGTCTTCATGGCTGACCTAACAGCAGTATAGTGATGTCATCTTCTGAATGACTGATATTTTTCAGTTCCAATAACTGCCTTAGCAGTTTGGTGTTGAAGGCGGTTATGGTTAGCTCATTGTGACCCTGCACTCACAAAGGTTTTGTCGTTGCAGTTTTCTTACGCCCATTTTGACGTCGATATGCACGTGTTCAAACCACTTCTTGATCGCTGTCCAAATATGTCTTGCAGAAGTTTCAGGAGTCTTCCGTCGACCCTCTTCTTCGATGATGATAGCAATGTAGTCTGTCTGCACCTACTTCTGAATTGAGATCAGTGGCCACCAGGTCAAACAGTATCTTCCTCTATGTCTTGAGTTTGTGCTAGCTAGAAATCAATGGTTATCTGAGCAAGGTTACAGCAGGCAGTCGACGTTATCTGTTCGTTCAGCTGAGATTCCGAAAGTGCCAGCTAAGCGCCTTTCTCCCCTCACCCTAGTGCATTGGAATCACCTGCAGCAGCTGCTATATCTGAGCATTTGGCTTTAAGTAGGAGGCTAGGGAATTTTCGGTGGAGTGATGTGGTATTGGGACAAATTATATGGTTCGCAATCTTTTTCAGTGGCATAAATGTATCCGCATATTGCCGTGATGGTTATCCCGAATTGCACTACTTTCTCATCCCCTTTTGTTTACTCTGTTTATTGGCCCACCACTTTTGACCATTTTGCCTCTTTTTTTTCATGCTCATGTGTTCTTGCCTGACGAGTTAGACTGTTAAGCAGTTATATGGGGTCCTATATTGATATTGTGTATCTTTCAGCTGGGTTTCAAAAAGTACCACCAAAGTGGTCTTCTGCCTTGCATTGAAGTCAACCTCAACAACTATCCCTGTTTTGGCGCTTAGCTTTCAGTAGGAGGCTAGACAGTTTTCGGTGCAACTCATCCTTCACTTCATTTGAACTGCAGTCAGTGGCTACATATGAAGAGGTTAGAAACAGGCAATGGTGTGTTTCACTGTATGTTTTAGTCCTTACAGCACTTTTCTTCGAATTTAGCATTGAATTCATACTACTAGCAACAGAATGCTGCAGTGTACGGAGGCTGCTTTATTGCGACCTATCCTTTCTAATCCTGGTGTTTAACTGTGGGAAGGCGGGATGGTATGGGAAATACCTTACTGCTGTCACATCCAAGCAGCAGTACGAAATTCACCTTTTGACCCCCATCATGGTTCAGTTATCTGAATTATGGTGATAACTGTTTTTTTGTCTTACCAGTATCCAACAAAGCTTTCCGGAATGTTGGGCATCTCAAGGAAACATGTGTTCCATCAGCATGGCTCGTTGGGTCATTGTGGTATGCAGGCCCAACCGCCACTTCAAGTTTGCAGCTGTCGATCGGGATTTCCTTTAATAGTTGTCTTTCAATGATCGTTCTTATTCTTGTTGATATCTTCAGACCAAACTTTAGCGAAAGTAACGCTATCACTGTAAATGCTGTTGTTATCCAACCACGCCATTATTTACTGGTGTATGCCTGCATGCGTAGCTAAGCAGTATAAAATCTAGTTATTTATTCAGTTTGATAGTCCTAGTTTAGCTCAATTGTTGTACCATAATCAATCGCTTTTTATGATGTACCACTATGTCAGCTGTAAACTGCATATTTATCTTTAGTATATTTATGTACATATTTTTTTCTAGGAAGAAGATATTGATGATGTAACACCGATGCAGCAATCCGCTCCACCGTATAATCCATCTGGATTTGGTAGTGATTTTAGCACTGCAACACCAGGCAATGAATTCCCTTATCCAACACCTGTGACTGTAGCCCAACAACAACCAATCAGTGGACGAGCATATTGATTAAGAATACAATACATTGTTAACAGAATACCCGAACAAATCTAAAATCCAGTACGTTAAACATTCAATCAATTTAAGTGAATATATTACATTTCCCTATGCTTACATATAAAGTATATGTATCCATTATCTCTTCAGTCATCACCACCACTATAAAGATATTACTATTCCTATTGGTAGTATTCATAATCTAATGAATAATCTTTATTATGAAGGATGATAGATTGACCAATCAAAATGTCGAGCGGCTAATTCAATCAATTCTTCTACTTATACAGAGATCACTGCATTTATCCTAACAGATTTCTTGCAGTTGATGTAATCCTAATAGTTAATTGGATATAATTTCTTATTTACCACTCATGAGAACTTCAAGAAATGAGAAATATTTAAGTGGAAATTTTAAAGCAAACAGTGAAATACTGTAATTTTCTTTTTCCAATTACTTCAACATTCCAAACAAATCAAATTGCAATTGTAGCATTCTTTTTTGATTTTCTAGTAAGTGGATTATTTCTCTTTTTGTGTCCGTTGAGTTTAACTATATTGTGACTGTCTTTAGATAGTTTTTCTTCTCATGTGTTCTATTTAATGAATATTTATTATTCTTACTCACTTTTAAGGCTGATAGGTATGTCGCTTCAATGCTGCTTAAATGATTAGTGTATCTATGAAAGTGTATACTTAGTCTTCTGGATATTCTTCCAAATGCTTTTATGTCAAGCATTACAAATCAACTAAAGAAAAGATGAATTTGTCTATCTACTACTTATCCTATGCTGTATAACAACGATATATTTTGCGAAGTTTAGTTTCATTTAATTTGTTTTTAAAAGAAAGTAAAAGTTAAGAAACTATCCTTATCTGGTAACTACAATGGCTTTCTCCTTTGGGGTTATTTTTTTGATTTCGTTATTTAATTGTCTTAGGTTGTATGCGCAGGTGTTGTCATTGTTATCGATGTTGTTTTCTTTGATTTGATGGAATTATCTAATCAATGCATTTATATTATTCACTTCATATTCCTCTTATTTAGCTTTTCTCTGTGTGTTTTGTTTACTTAGTCAACTGTTATTTGGCATACACGTATCACTTTCCCATTTTTCACGCAAATGTCTACTTCTTCGGTTGTCTGAGTTAACTTCGTGTGTTCTTTGGTCATTATCATTATGATTACTAACTTGTGGAATGTATTATAAATGTGCAATCAGTTGACCAAACAATCAGTTTAGTGAAATTCTCAATGATGATATTACTATTATTATTATTATTATCTCAAAACATGTATTGTATGTATGATTGTGTCACTGAAGACGAAATATACGTTATGATTTACATTTGATATATTGTATTTCCCTTTCCTGCTTCTCTAGTCCTACAGACTAGCTGATTTCTTTTTCTAAGCGATATTTTTTGCTTACCATAGTTAGTTGATGTCATAATTTACCGTTTCACCTTAGTCCTGCAAGAAATTATTGTACACTTGCATGGTTTATCAGTAATATGAGTCCAGTGCTAAATGACACAGGTTTAAGCTTTAAATGGAAAAAAAAGTTGCAGATTCACTATTAATTACCAACATGAAGGAATAGTGTACCATTATATCTAGTAGGCTCAACAGTTTGCTTAAGGTGTACTTTTTAAACTAATCCCACAACCTATCAGATTTACTGACATCATCCACCCTCTCTACACTTTGTAAGAGTTGTTTTAATCTGTCAGCAATATGATACCTCAAACTTATGTGATTTTATTTTGTGATACGTGTTCTTAGAAGTTCGTCATCAGTGCTATGATATAAGTGATCAATATGCTTGCTACACAAAGAAACATGCATTTTCGAATGGGTCGCTTAGGGCCCTTCCATACAATTTGTATATCAATAAATTTGTCAATAAGATAAACTCACATTTTGTCGTTGTGGAATACAGGTGTGTTTTGTTTCTAGTAATTCTGAAAAAAAGCAACTGAAGGTTTTATTTTCCCCCTCGTTACATCTTTATCGATGCCACTGTCGGCCACCCAAATAACACTAGGGGTGGAAGATTTCTCCATACAATGAATTACCATCTCGTTAACTACTGTCAGTAAAATTAGTTGACAAGATTCAGTTGGTGTTTTGTGGAGATAGTCCTAATCATGGGTTTACATTAGTTCAAAAACCAGTTAAAATCTGGAGGCACCGAACTGTTGCTTCACACTAGTATAAAACCTCTAAGCATCGCGCACCGACGACCATGTTACCATTACTCCGAAGTTCTGATGAGGAATCGTGACCTGTTCGGTCAACCAAGTCAGTTGCAAAGGCCGGATAACCTTAACTCTGTAGTAAATTGACGGTAGGAAAATATGAACCGTTGGATCCCAGCTTAGTCACTGGTCGGTAGCGTATTCGCCACAAGCAGCAGGGTTGTGTGCGCAGGCTACTGAGGAGTCCTGGACTTGGATGGAAGCTGTTTAGTTCTCTCAGGTTTTCATTGTCTTGCTAACCTTTGTTAATAGTTAATGCAGACTGCACTTGGACAACAATATATGGGCTCCTGAGAAGGGATCAACCAAGAAACCAATACTCAGACCTTAGGTTCCACATCGTAGGTCAAACGATAACAATTGTAAAGGTCAACCTCTGATATAAAGGATGTGTAACCCCCTACCGACGGGCCAGTAATTTTCAAGGTAGGCAAATGTCCCTTACAAACGTCCATATAACTTTAAAATGAAATATGAAATAAATGGTGATGAAGTAACAGCCTGATGATGAAACGTCCGAAAAAACCTTGAAAGCTGAGAGAAAAGACAACTATTATTCTCTTCCTGAGCTACGAATCTCTACTATAGATGGAAGTATGAATGAGAAATATTTAGGAAACAAGCCAGTTTAATTTCACTCAGCAATGACGTTTTTTAGAACTTGATACTTTGGTAGTTTGACAAGATATGAATAAGTCCAGTGTTGGAACTCAAATGCTTAAAAGTAGTAATATTAGATTCTTACCACAGAACACCGTTCAGGTAGAGACTTTTAATCGTAAAAGTTTTCTGGAACTTAGATATTGGGTTTTACATCTGTTAGCAACCACACTGTTAGCAATGGAATCTCAGTTGAGTCAGTTTCTTTAAGTTCATTCATTTTGCCATACAGTGGTAATTTTAACTGGTACTAAATCTTTTGTGGAAGAGAAGTTTGACGTTAATCGGGCGAAGTTATAACAGTTCAAACTTATTCATCATCGCAAATGAAATTTATGTGTAGACGTTAAATATAAGCGAAACAGCTCACTAAACTCTAATAAAGTGCTGTTAATCAAGGCTATAATGTACAAGACCTTGAAACCAGTTATTACCTATTTCCCTGTACTATATATATACCAAAACGTCCTGGCAAAATGAAATATTGGTCATTCTAAAGTCTTCAACAAGTAGGCTATATTGGACAGATTTCTAAAACTTTATAGTGAGTTAACAAACAATGGGTTTTTTTTTGAGGGGGTTGTGGAGATTTGGAAATATTTCAAGTTGTTATTCATCGAAGACTGACATCAGTTGGAGGAACAAAGGAGACCTGGGAGCACTGGACAGCTGTTTCGTCCTAGTATGGGACTCCTCAGCAGTGCGCACCCACGACCACACCAGCAGGGATCGAACCCGCGACCTTCAGGTTCCACGGCCAGCGCGTTACCGCTTTCGATCCCTGCTGGTGGGGTCGTGGGTGCGCACTGCTGAGGAGTCCCATACTAGGACGAAACAGCTGTCCAGTGCTCCCAGGTTTCCTTTGTTCCTCCAACTGATATCAGTCTTCGATGAATGACAACTTGAAATAATGGTTTTGATAAAGAATACCTTCATAAAGTAATTTAAATTGTACTCTTTCACAAATACCTTCTGAGGAAAATGACGTTTCTAAAACTACGGTAATGATTCTGTTTAATTGGTTCAAATTCATATGCCTACCATTTGACCTGGTAAAAACTATCGAAACCTTTCAATGGTGAGTCGATTTGCTTCTATACGGTTTTACATTTGTGAACATCTATGTTGTCAAATATAAAAATTTCTTTTTGACCTGCTGTTTCAATACAGAATGATTGTATATCTTTGTTATTTCGAATCAGATCAAATACTAGTTGTACGGTCAATTCCATTAGAACTAGGTATTATGCATCAGTTGACTCATATTACTTCAGTGATATCTCTTTCTTGGAAATTTTGGTCATTGTTTGGTAGATATTTGTGCAAATATCTAGAAGATATTTACAAATATGTTGAAAGGTCAACTCGCAACACTGCATATAACTCGAATTACTACTGTAGTTGTGAAGACCAAGTAACCCTCATATAATATATCCAGTCCGAGTGTATTCATTGCTGAAACCTGCTTTATATTCTGAAATCTTTTGCTTTTTTTCTGTTCTTCAAAACATTAAGTAGTAACTGAAAACTCCATATAGGATATGTAAATAATTGTTATTTGATTACTAACTTATCTATTCAGTTTATATGCGGCTGATGAAAATTCTATCAAATAAAATGACATCATCTCAATCTACAAATGGTGTTCTCGTTGCACTATTCAAGTTCATTAAGAGGGCTAAACACATGAAATGTAATTACTAAACCTTGAAGTCTTTTTAGCTCTAAATATCAATAATCCGTTGTCAACGAAATATTGTAACAATGTTAGTTGGTTGGGAATAATCAAGAGGAAACCCTGAACCTAGATTTCATGCTTGCTGGCACTCATTAGCAAGGTGTATCTGCAACCTCGATAGAACTGATGTCCTCTGAGTGATTCAGTTACACACCATCTAGTTCTTCCTTTAAAGACGTTAACATTGAGCTATTCGTGAAGTGATTGAATTCCTCTAGGACTGGATTAGATACATTATTTAGTCACCGAAGTGCAACCAATTCCATATTCTCTGACCGAATTTTATCGATCACTTTGTAATATACTCATCAAGCTAAAAGTCTCATCTTCATGATATAATTTAGATGTAAGTTGGTTGGAGGAAGTTGGCTTTCTGTAAGACGATCGTTATAATTCGGTCAGCACTCATGACTAGACAACATGAAAGTGATTACCTTTTTGTAACCAATCAAAATATGTCGTGACTTAATGGTGAAGTTTATTTTCAATTTCAAGTAAGTGGTAAAGATTTGATGTATTTAGAAAACAGTTAATCATGGTTTAAATGGTGGCTTAATCTTAGTATATGAATGAACATACTGTTTTGATCTGTATGTGTTGACCACAGGCATTGCACAAAAGCTGTTGAAGTCAGGCATGAACGTCACTCACCTAGAATTCCACACTTTACTTCTGATACATAGATCACCAAAAGAAATAATAATTGTGTAAACAAGGATCCACCACCAGTGAATTTGAGTATCATTGGTCCTACCGGTAAGAATGCAGTGAAATTAGCGAACTGCAAAAGAGTGAAAATAAATAAATGAAGTATGCTGGGTAGCCAATCCTCTATGTTTTAAAATAATTCCTTTCGGTAACATTTCCTCCTTACTTTTTCTATACATTTAGTGCTCTTCAGGGAATCCGATTACTGATAATTTCGAGAAATCTAATGTTAGCATAGAAATGAAATATTTAGAAAGCAACAAACTGATCGGAGAAATGTTTCTTCCCCTTGCTTCACTGATCATTA